GGCCGCCGTGCCCGCGGCGATGCCGCGCCGCTCGCCTGCGCCAGCTTCTCCCGCTTCCGCTTCTTCTTCTTGCCCTGCGTGGGGAGCGGGAGGGCGCCCGTGGCCGCCTCGCCGGCACCGGGGGCCGCGGGCGCCGCCGTGGGACCCCCCCACTCACGTAGTTGTCGCGGGCCGACCAGGTCGGGTAGAGCTGCGAGTGCAGCTGCCGCTCCTTGCGCGCCAGCTCGTAGTACTTGGCCTGCTCCTCGCGCGACAGCGAGTGCCACTGCGGGGACAGCGGCTCGCGGCGGCACCGGCCACCGCGCGGGGCGCCGGGCACGGCTCCGCACGCGGCACCGCCACCAGGTATGGCACCGGCACCAGGCACCACACTGGGCACGGCACCAGACACGGCACCCGCAGCAGCACCTGGCACGTCACGGACCCCGCGTCCACAGCACCAGCCCCTGGCTGCCCYGCAGACCCCCAGCTTGTGCCAGTCCCGTACCCCCTGCAGTGCCAGACCTGCCCCGTGTGGTGCCAGCCCCAATCCCCATGCAGTGCCGGCCCTGTCCCCCATGCAGTACCAGCCCCATCCCCATGAGGTGCCAGCCCCATCCCCATGCAGTGCCAGCCCTGTACCCCATGCAGTGGCAGCCCCATCCCCATACGATGCCAGCCCTGTCCCCCATGCAGTGCCAGCCCTGTCCCGTGTGGTGCCGGCCCCAATCCCCATGCGGTGCCAGCACCGCTTCCCATGTGGTATCAGCCCTGTCCCCCATGTGGTGCCAGCCCCGTGCCCGGTGCAGTGCCAGCCCCATCCCCATGAGGTGCCAGCCCTGTCCCCGCTGCGGTGCCAGCCCCATCCCCATACGATGCCAGCCCTGTCCCCCATGTGGTGCCAGCCCTGTCCCCCATGTAGTACCAGCCCCATCCCCATGCGGTGCCAGCCCCGTCGCCACGTGGTGCCAGCCCCGTCCCCAAGCAGTACCAGTCCCATTCCCCATGCAGTACCAGCCCCGTCCCCATGTAGTACCAGCCCCATCCCCATGCGGTGCCAGCCCCGTCCCCATGTGCTGCCAGCCCCGTCCCCTCTGCAGTACCAGCCCCGTCCCCACGCAGAACCAGCCCCATCGCCATGTGGTGCCAGCCCCATTCCCTACACGGTACCAGCCCCGTCCCCATGCAGTGCCAGCCCCATCCCCACTGCGGCTCCCGCGGCACCAGTGGCAGCGGTGCCCGCGTCGCRGCCCTACCCGCCGGCCCAGGATCTGGTTGATGGCAGCGCTCTCCTTCAGCGTGCACTCGGCCACCACCTTGGCCCTCATCTCCTTCATGTAGAGCATGAAGGCGTTGAGCGGCTTCTTGATGTGCGGCTTCTTCTCCTCGTCCTTCTTGGCGGCCGGCGGCTTCCTGCGGCGAC